GTGTATTGAAAAAATATATTTTCATAGTGTAACCCAATAGTAGACACCTGAGGTACAATGCAGGCCCTCAGTAGTTTGAAGCTGGACAGCTCTGGTGTGCGTAAAAGTAGAATTTGTTCTGCGATTCACATATTGGTCTCTTTCAAGCATTATGTTCTGTAACACAGTGCATGAATCTGTCACCCAAAAGGAAAACACTGCATAATGTGACATCTGAGTACTCTTTTTTTTTTTATTATTTCATCCCTTAAAGGAGATCTAAAATAATTATGTTGTTATACTGAATATGTGCAGGTGTAAAAGAAGATGGAACAAACAAGGAAAAGGAATACTGTAGCAACATAGAGAAACAGCAACCGAAGACTGATAGAGCATCTCCACATGGGTCTTCAGGGTTGCGTTCAAATGGTGAAGCAAAGCAGAGTAAGGTGAGAGGGGTTCCACAGAGTTTTGGCTATGTGAAGCGCTCCACAAATGGATGTGCTGGCAACAAAAGTGAGCTTCGTACAGCCCAAGTGTCTGCAGTACCTCGTACAAAGTTAAAGGTGTCAGGTGGCACACAGACATGCACTAATGACCTGCAGCAGCAGTCACAACCCCATCACTACAAGTCATACTCGCTCACTGGCCCCTCTGCTAGCCAACTGTCGCAGAGTGTGCGGGACCGCCTCCTGCTTGGATCACAGAGTTTGCCTAAACCAGGCACCAGTGAACATGCTGCCCTGTTTCACCCACACAGAGGTCAACAGAGAGGTCATCGTCCCTCAGATGGCTCTCTCTCAGATACAACATACTCTAATTATGCAGATTTGCAGAACTACTATGCCAATAGCAGCCCCTATAGTTCATGGCTGCGGTATAGTGCCACATATACATCATCACTTCCAGCCAGGGCAAGTGCAGGTATGTAATCTTGCATTCTTATTCCAGCATGTCTGGATATTTGTCAGGTGTCACACCATGTAACTGTATTTGCTGGACTATTCAGATGACATATTTTTTCATTAAATAGTGGAAGCTTAATAAGAATGAAAAGTATGTATAAAAATATGGAACCCTTTTCAGCAGTTGCTGGAGCAATACACATGTAGCAATTGTGGGACCTCAAAACTCAATTGGTTATAATTACATATGAGAGAGCAAACTTCTGTAAACACTTCTTATGACCAAGATGATACTGAAGATGATCTTTTGTACATCAGGTATAATTGCTGCACAATATGTGAGAATTTGGTTTACTTTACCTTGGTAATTCAGCTTGATATGGTAGTTCTTCAATATTCAGAACCAAGGCTAACATCTTCAGTAGCACATAAACAATTGAAGCACAACACACGCTGTATCCACTTGTCACCAATTTTAGAGGTCTCATTTAAGATAGTGGTTTGTACATACAGCCCTTTCATTTTACATAAAAGTTGTCATACAAATTCTTTGTTGGTTAAAAAGTTTCTAGAATGTATGTTTGTGTTCTTTGCTGGATCCAGCAACGCAGACCCATCAACAAAAAGATGCCTCTGTCTCCTATAAGCTGACATGCCTTTCCATACAAAATCTCTGTCACTTAAACCATTTTCTTTCTGTTCATTATCAACATCATTCATTCAGTAATACATAATCACCCACAGAATATTCATTCTGTCTTAATCTAATAAACTTTGTTCTGAAATCCTCTGTTTAAATTCTCTGACAGTGCAGTTGATCTGCTCTCCCCATGTCATCCTGTGGATCCAAGTGTACAGCATATTATGTCTCAGTACAGCCTTGCATTTTGTGTATGGAAGCAAGTGTTCACAATAAAATGTTAATTCTTTATTGGAAAGAATAGACAGTTTCAGGCTAGGCCTATACTGACATTACAGTTGTTAAGCAATTATAAACACTTATGTGCAGCAAAAAGGAAAAACACACTCTTGACATATTATATAGAATTACAGAATGCCACTGTTTGAATGTTTGTATTAACCATATAGAAATAAGGGATGAATCAGTCATAATTCTGACACATTGCCTGCGTTCCATTCAGAAAATATATGAAACAGAAGCGCCAACAATTCATGTACCAGAAGCACATGACAGAAAGAGAAAATTCGTGGTGGAACATTTAACTTCCCATATCACCATTAGTAACTATGACAAATTTTGTAAATAATTAAGATTTTCATCTTTAAACATTTGAGGAATGTCTTAAAAAGTGGTCATGCAAAGGTTGCCTTAAGCTAGCAGCATTAATTATCACTCTTTCAGTATGTGGGATGGTGAAATGTGATGCATATTATTGGTAAAATTAATATTTTTCATGTCTTCTGTGAAAAAAAGAATAGTGAATTTGATTCCATCACTCAAATCTCATGCCTTGTTGTCCTCTATTCTAGCAGCAGGCTTAGTGGAGGCAGACAGTGTTGAGTCTCTGTGCTCTCTACCGGCACAGTTGCAACATCATCGTGCTAGCCTCACTCATGCCCGTCTGTTAATGCATCAGAGAGAGAGCAGTGCATCACCAGGTCCCCGTCTCAATCGTAGCAACAGCATAAGGTAACTTCATTGACATTACACATTGTTCATGGATTGGCTCTTTCACAAATGTCTGACGCATTCTTCCTCATATACTTAAACTGTTTTGTCCTTTAAAAAATGTTCTGTAAGCACTCGTAAAGACAGTGGTGCTTGTGTGATGTTGCGTAATTGAATGATCCCCACTACCTAACTCACAAACAAACTTTGATTTTGTCTCAGTTTATCCAAAATCTGTTCTGTTTTAATTCATCATTTTATATATTCCTTAACACATGGCCATTCTTCAGGTAAACTTCTGTATGGGAAAGTATTGGGGGCATGTGGTAGCATAGTTGGTTGAGGCACTATACCAAAGCCGGAAGGTCGTGGGTTCAAGTCCTGATGAGGTCATTAGATTTTTTCAGTTGACCTAATTCTTCCGACTGCACTATGGCCCTGGGGTTGACTCAGCTTCTAACAGAAATGATTACCAGGAATATTCTTGGGGGTAAAGGGCAGGCGGCTTGTAGGGCTGACAACCTTGCCGCCATCTATGAACTGATTGTCTAGAAAATGTGGGAACTTCGACATCTCACAACCCTATGGGCCTCCATGCCCTGTTACAGGGATACCTTTACTTTACTTTACTTTACTTACTTTATGGAAAAGTATTGGATATTGATCATGAAAGTCATGGTAATGGGGTGGAAAGTGTATTATGATTACCTAGGCTTCAGCACCTTGGAAACTTGGATTAGTGTGTTGCTGTCCATTGCAATTTGGGGGGGGGGAAGTGTGAAAACAGGTCAGGTATGCTGCCTGGTGAAAGAAGATCATGGTGTAGGGATTCTTACAGTTTAAAATTAATGTGTGATATGAGGCCTGATGATGGAAATAAAGTTGCTGTAGCACTTAACCCCTTGCTTCAGCCGAGGTTCCAGAACCTTAATTTATGTTTCACTGCTAATACAGATTCACAGTAGTGAACTGGAAGAATAGATTGAAGTCCATATTATCTGTCATACCTTTCTGCTTAAAATTCACTTGAAATGCATATACCCATCATTCTGACTTCAAATGACAGAATTTGTTTCTGGTGGTGTGATTAGATGTTGAAACTGTATTGCTGAAGGTCCATTATAATAACTGTAAAATTGAAAATCTACTGATCTCAATTTTTGAAGAGGATGTAAGATGTACCTTGAATTTCCTTTTGTTGAAATTAATTAAGTACAAATTGCCATTAATCAGTGTTTGTATACATATAATATGTATTAAATTGAATGCTAGTAAATGTTATTAAATAAGGAAATAACACACCTGTATGTTTATAACTCCAGTAAATTTATTGGTTATATATCTAGTTTATTAATTAATTTTGTATGCATTAATATTCATTGTACACATGTAGAATTAGATGAACCGCTTTGTCAAAAACTCTGAAGATTATAGTGGGAAGAAACATTTTCTTACCATTGACATATGCTGTAGATCAGCTGAAACTACAGCCTTAACGCTTCCACAGCAGAAATATTGCATCTAACATGTCTCTTGGACTGGTCTATAGTGGGTTCTAAGATGAAAATTATTTCAATGTTCCAGATCCACCAAATCTGAGAAGATGTACCCGTCCATGCTTCAACGCTCAGAAGAACTGGATCCCTACTATGGGATTCCTCTGTGTTCAAATGCAGTGAGCCACTCCTCCCAGCCCACTAGTCCAACACCCAGCCAAGTGTCCCAGGGCACAAGCTCCAGGTGTGTCTGTCCATCTCACCGTGCATTATGTGACAAATTATTTCAGTGATAAGGAGTCATGAAACTTAGCTACATAAATGGAATTATCATTACTTTGATGGCTGGAGTATTAAATTGAAAAAGATAATATTTGAAAATTGAAGCTCCTTATTCTAACATGAAGACATAGACTGTAATCTCATAATACAGTTTTGCCAGTTATATTTCTTAAAAATAAGAAATAAAGGCAAATAAATATGTGGTTAATAATATATGCTTATTATAATAAAAATGTACAGTAATGTGTAAATTTGGAGACATGTATCATAATGGAAAGTTTTTCTTTCTGGAAGAGCCACCTATTTCCTAGCCATCTGTAGTAATGTTTCAGAGATGTGAAATGTTCAGTGTGTGACAATATGCTCGCTAATTCTGTAGCCTGAACCCATGTCAAATTTGTACAGGGCTTTTAAAAAATTCACATTTTAAAGTTAGGTGATATTAACCTGCTTATAAAATTTCTTGCAATGTTGTTTTAATTCTGACTCCATTAATGCCCCTGTGTGACTATGTGCTTGCTGATATTTTTCATAAGAATTTGTTTTTACCAGGGTAAATTAAACTTTAATTTTTGAGAGGGATAATGTAAGTTAAGTGTCCAGCTTTGCAGATTAACACATTTATGGCTTGAAGTGTAATTGTGATACCAAAGTGTAACAGTGAGCAAAAACTAACCTATTTTATAAGAAGCTTATCATGTGAACAAAATTCCAGTGTTATTGAGCTGACTGGATTTAGCCCTCTGATTGGTAAGCATTTGTTCTCTCTCTACCAAGCCACAAAATAGATGATTATATATTCATGTGTATTGCATATATCACATCATTTTCATAACTCATGTACATTTTTTTCAAAATGCTGTTCCCGTCTTGTCTATATTAGTAATTTAAATTTTGAATGCATGAATTAGGTCGTGTTTTTTATCCAAAATGACCTTATTTCAAGTTCATTCCATTGCACATTACGAGACTAGTGTCTCATTCAGATTTTCGTTATGCATATGTTCTGCTTCCAAGTTTGTATGGCTGTACACATGTCCAGACCTTTACATATCACTTTCTGTGTGATGCTTTGTTACACCTGTCTTGTAAACACGATCTTATCCATTTATATTACTCTAATATGCTAAAAGATAGCACTTCTAATAAGTCCACTTTGATATATGCACACAAAATATCATGTTGATAGTTTACACAGCTACACGTTATGAGTGAACTTGTTCGTGATGTCTCAGACCCACCACAGAACTGAGCTAGTTGGCTCAAGTGGTAACATTTCTGACTTGTATTCTGGAGGTGCCTGGTTGGACTTGGATACTGACTGTATTGTGACTAATGTTTTTCATGGTTGTACTCAGTCTCTTCAGCCAAGTGTCAGGATAGTTCCTTATAATAGGCCGCAGTCACTTACTTCCTCATCCTTTTCAGTTCATTGCTCACTCTTACACGGTCTTTCAACCCTGTATAGTCTGAGTTAACTGACAGTGTTGTTGAATGAACTATGAATAAAAAATAAATAAACCATAATGGAAACATCCCCCACTGATTAGGTAGTTACAAATATTCTACTACCCTCAGCTGCAGTGAACAAAAAGAACATGAACTTACTAGTACCCAAGCAAATATTAGCAGTTTATACATTAAGCAAAATAATCATGATAGTTATAGAAGACACTTACATTACAGATTTAGAAACCTGAGAGAGAAAACTGATTGCTTAATGTATGTTTCAATTTTTAATCCCCGAATATTTACTCATCTACACACTCAGTTTTATTTTCTTTTGTTACTGTATTCTGTACATCCATATGTAAATTTATGGTACTGAATAAAAAAACATCTTTTGTAAATAAATCAGTTTTATAAATATTCATGTCCTCTGTCTAGTTTGGCAAGTGAAATTGTTCTGCAATTCAATATTTCTGAGAGAAAACAACCTTGGAAAGGGTGTATTCTGTAATGTAGTATACAAAACTGCCATTGGTATTCTTGGAAGTTTCCCATACTGAATTCCAATAAAATCTGTGAGATGTTTTTGAGAAACATGGAAAAGTATCTTCATGGCCTTACATAAACTGGGCTTCGTTATTGACCAGTATAGCTGAAAATCAGAAATGCACACCTACTTCTTATGAAAGTCTTACATATCAAATTTCATTAAAATCTGTGGAACAGTTTCTAGGATGTATGGAAGAGTCCAGTTATGGCTGTATATAAACCAGACTTCATAATGAATCAGTATGGCTAAAAATCAGACTTGCCATACAATTTTTGGTGAAAGTTCCCCATATTTTGTATTAAGAAAATCTGCCTAATGGTTTACGCTCTGATACCAGATCACAGACAGAAGAGAAAACATGACCTCCATGTAATCCCCCCCCCAAGCTCTGTAGGAAAGGCTTAATAATTAAAAACATCTACTGAAATGAAAATTTATGCAGAATTTGAGAATTTTAATTTAAAAATTATACATAGATTGTAATACTATATTTTGTTTTCAGATTTTTAACTGTTATATAAGTGTATGAAAATTAACTAGAAAAGATTGTGCATTTTCAGATTCAACTATTCGCCAATCACAACATCTGCTTCTAGTCATGGGCTGAGCCGAATCAGTATCTCTCCATACTCTGGTCTTCTTTCAAAAACAAATTCCAAAGATGATGAGAGTAAGTATAAATTGAACATTTTATGTGTTTTTATGTTCGGCTTAAAACTGGAAACTGTTTTTTTTTAGTAAAGGTTATGGCCAAGTTACTGTATGATGAAGGAACAAATTTGTATATAACATTGTCATAAGTACACTTGCTCAAATGATAATGATAACTCCTAAAAGTTAAGCAAGATGAAGCCTTTTTTCATATTACACACAAAGACAAATACTATTGATAAAGATACAGATGTAGGTTAATGATATTCCCAGTGTTTAAATTGTCAGTTCATAATGTTAATATAATATGCCGATTTGTACATTATAGAATACTGCTATTAATTTAGAACTTTTAATATTTGCTTTTATTCAGTTCATGGCTCTTCGGTTAGCCTGGTATCTACTGCATCTTCACTGTACAGCACACCAGAGGAGAAGCAGTCCCATGAAATTAGGAAACTGCGTCGTGAGCTACAGGATGCGCAGGAGAAAGTTCATACCCTCACCAATCAATTGTCAACAAATGTACGTTTACATATTTACAACATGAACTTCCCTATAGCTTTTTAAATTATAATGTGCCTCTTTAACATCCTTCAGAAGGGCTACATTTTAATATTTCCATGTTGATCTCAGTTCCTGTGGGAAACCTTAAGTGCGAATATCACTGTAATATTATTGTTAGCTTGGTGTTAGATGGAAGATATAATGTGTTCAAAGATATGATATAGATTTCAAGCTTAGCTCTTTTATAATGGATAATGCGAGAAACATGAATGACACATGAAATAAAGAGACTGAAAGTTTATTCATGCTCTTAGTGAAGTTCATTGTGAAGACCATTTGTCACTCTGCACATCTCATCAGTATCCCAAATCTAACAACACTCAAGTTAAAAGGTCTGGAGCTGTGGACTCAGCAGGGTCTGTGATTCTTTGCTTCAAATTTCTTCTGTCATTAATTTTTCACCTTTGATGCCACATGTTTTACATAGTCACAGAGGTAAAATTGTAACAATGTAATGTTCAAAACTCAAAATGAGCAAGGTTTTGAACCTCTTGTTTCAGTCCACTGACTCAAGAAATGTTCCTTTAGATGTTGATGGTCAGCCTGTGGGTAGGGAAGTGAGGCTCCATCAAGTTGACATTTTTATCTTCATTTTACGATAACACATGAAGTTCCAACATATCTACAGGCCATTTGAAGCAAAGAACCAAAAATATGACTTAATTGCCCATGTATCCATAATGTGTATATATTAAACAGCTTTTAGTGCATACAATTTCACTTGTCACTTCACACTACATGTTTCGGCATCATTCTGCCATCCTCAGGTGTATTAATTACTGCCTGCCATCAAGTGTATATACACATTATGAATACGAATCAGTGTAACAGGACGCTAAAATACAGTATATACACATTATGGATACGAATCAATGCAACAGGACGCTAAACTACAACATTATTAATAATGCCCATGTATAATTATTCAGAGAATAGAAAATACTCAGTAAACTTAGATAAGTTTGATGGTGGCTAATCATGTCCATTTTACATCTTCTAGGCACATGTGGTATCTGCTTTTGAACAGTCATTGTCGAATATGACACAACGTTTACAGCACCTCACCTCAACTGCTGAGAGGAAGGTAAGAAGAATCGGGTGCTGAAATTTAAGAAACTTAAATTTTTGTATCTTGTATGAGAGTTTTTGTGAAGATGAAATTGCCATTGCTCACTATAACATGCTAAGGCTTAGCTTTAGTTATGGATTTTCCGGAATTTGGGAAGAACTTTTCTCTTGTGGCATATTATTGCAGTATATAGCAATGCATTAAAGATTACAAGCTAAGCACATAACCAATATGCAGTGATATTTTGAAATTGGCTTCATCTAATCTTAATGCCAGTCTGAGGTGGTGGATTTGCTGTCATTTGAAGAAAAAAAGGAAGTGCATAACTTATACAGTCACAGAGACATTATCCTGTCTGGACAAACTGAGGCTGTAAAAATACCTTTAGCTTCAGCAGTTTCACTTGCAGTCCATTTTACCTACGTCATGTGGAGCTGATTATGTAAGACTGCAGAAACAAATGAAAAACTAATCTCTTATTCTGCCTCAGTGTTTTGGTATGTTAATTTTGAGTTGTCATTGGTCACACCTTCCTGTGAATGATGTTTTTCTTATTCATACCTGTGATCAGTTTCTGTTCCTGTCTTCATTGTTGAGAGATATTTTCAGCCTTCTGCATTCAGAAAACTACTGGATAACTGTGGCTGATTGAGCAGTGCTCTGAAAAGCACTCTCAGAAGTGCAAGAGACTGGCTGAGGTTTCAGCCTCTTTTAGTTGTACAAGATCATGACACACAAGTGCTGTCTGTCATGCTTCATGATGCCTGATGGACTGCAGCACAGTGTGACATGCATAGCCTTGCACTGCTTGTGGCAGGTGGCTTATCATCTGTTAATTGGTATTGGTCTAACTGCAAGGAATTGTGGTAAGACGTTATGTATCTAGATAAAATGGCTCTTGTATTAAACTGTATTCCTCTTACAGTAGTTTGTAACTACTTGTAAAATACTGTTTTCTCCAGAGGAAGCATTGAAGATATTAAATTTTCATTGTAAACATGCAGTTAGTCTTGTGCATTTTTGCTACAGTTTATGAAGTACTGCTTTTATCACTGTAGGATTCTGAACTGTTGGAATTACGTCAGACAATTGAGTTGTTGAGGAAACAAAGTGTAGAAGCTGGATTAACATCAGCGCATATTCAGAGCATGTCACCATCTCTTGCCCGAAGACATACAATCAACATTAATGCTGGGGCACAAGGTAAGCATAATGAAACATTGGTGTATCATGTTTAGTTTTGTGTTTTAGGAAAGTTGTATTGTGAAATGTGATTAAGATTGTATAATTGTTTATATAGGCTTACATGCTTCTTAAAAAGGTGTACAAATATGTCCCCTAATATGAAGTACATGTATTTTTTTCAAATGCATTATTTTCAAATATTGGTACAAATATTTTGTTTGTCGACAAACACCGTGATTTTATATTTCAAAACAGCATTTCAGAGACTAGATTCTTTCTCTGTCTTCAGGTAAAACATAGGGAGGTAGGACTAGCTCTATCAGTTGGGCCCAACTGAGTAGGTTTTACCTGAAGACGGAGACAGAATACAGTGTCCGAAATGTTGTCTTATTGTTGCAAAATCTATAGAAAAGTCTTGCAGGATCTTCTGAGGAAGGCTGTGGCTCAAAAAGGGATGTTTTGCCAGTGATGATGATGATGTTCCAAAGTTGCTTCACCCTAAAAATGACAACTGCAGTGTTGATCAGCTTATTCCAAATAATGTTGTATTTTAGCGTCCTGTTGCACTGATTTAAGTTCATGATTTATTTAATATTATTTTAATATTTTTAACGTTTGACAATGTATATGATAGATACATATTTTAGTTATTATAATGTGTGAACATGGCATGCAATGAACTGGTTTGACGTGGATAAGTAAGCACCTGAAGATGGCATTATTATGCCGAAACATGTAGTGCGAGGGAGAGAAGGAGATAAATGAGTGTATGCGCTGCAAGACGGATTAAATAAATCATGAACTTATTCCAAATAGTTGAAGTTATGCATGACACTCTGCACATGATACATTTGGTGGTAGCACTGAATGAACATCAGCAGCAACACGATAAAATTGCTTTACTTTTTTGTTCTTCCTAGTTCTTGCTAGCTGCAGCATATAGATTGAAACATTTGAAGTGGGGTTTGTGTAATATATTCTTCCAAAAACGTCTTGTATTTTTATGCTGTTACATTGTATAGGTGGAAGCAGCATGTTGCGCCAACTGTCCACAGATTCTGTGTCAAGTATCAATTCCTTGTCATCGGCCTGTAGTCTGTCGAGTTCTGCTCATGCCCCTGACAACTCTACTACCTCTGCCAGCAAGAAGAAGAAGAAAGGTTGGGTAAGTATCTTATCATACCATTTCTACCTTGCGACACACACAGCAGGTCTACATTTGTTCAGTATTGTATTCAGGAAGGCCAGTGTTCTTCAGCATAATGAAACTGATCCATTATGCAAAATATCCATGTACAAGAACAGAATGTTCTCTTTCGTAGTGAGGAAATTCTACTTTACTGCACTAAATTTATGAATTATGTTGGTGTTAATCAGTACCTAAAGTTTTGTTATATTTTAGTTTTGCAGTAGTAAAGTTCAGATACATTGAAGGTTGGTTTTAAATCTAATTGCTTGATCGTATAAAAGGCAAGGAAGAAAAATCATTCTGTTATGCCATTCTATAAGTCTTTAAGCTTCCTCTCTTTGTCTTTACTTCATCCTTTCCTCTCTTTTATCCTTTCTGTTTAAGTGTACCTATGTTTTTAACGTTCATGCTTGTTTGACGACGACGACGATCTATCATACTGAAACAATTTCTCAGCCATTAACAATGCTGTGGTATTCTGCAGGTAGCTCTCTTCTCTTAAGCTGTCCCTTTTTTAATTCAGTGATGTAAGTCCCTGATGTGAGCGTCACTTTAGTGTGAAGTAATTCTCTACCCTTTCTCCTGTTTGCATATTTGCTTCTGTTGATATCACATACAGTGTACCCTCTGATGTCAGTTTACATGTTATAGATTTTCCTATGTGTAACTAAATAGTTGCATTATTCCCACATTACCTCTTCCTGTGATGTAGTACATTATCAGTAATTAATCATTTATAAATATCTCTCCTTGCAGCTGCGTAGTTCCTTCAGTAAAGCATTTTCACGTTCAAAGAAAAATAAAAATGGATCTGTGTCTGATGTAGAGGACTCCCGAGGACTGAGCTCAGATATTTCTGCCCCTTCCTCTCCACTTCTGAATGCACCGCATCATATGAATGGGAGTCAAATTAAAGGAAGCCAGTCATCCTCTGCGTAAGTGTTGCTGTTCTGTTTGTTTCTTTTTGTACAGTTACTGTTTCAAGTTATGAAACATGTTTAAGTGCAGTTTACATGCAGCCTTTGGTAGGTGACACTACTCTGGCTAGTATAGGGTTTTTCTGTTAGATGATTGTGGAATGGCATCTGCTGAGTCATATGTCATTTAAAAACTGTGGACTGTGTCATGCAGTGAAATTTTGTGTGGTGCCATCTTAGATTTCTTTTAAATAATCAGCTTGTCTGCATTAGGTTCTCATTCATATTAGTATGGAAATTCACTACTCTGAAATCTGTTAAAAACACCAACATTTAAAATATTTTCTCTATGAAATGATAAAATACTTTTGATTGAAAATGTTCCCATATGATTGCTGTATATTTTACTCTCTGAAATATTTCCCATTTAAAACAACTTCCTGCCAAGAAAACAAGTAACAGATGTGACAAAAGTAATATTTTACCCATTGTTGATTTTTATATCAAAATTTGTGTATGTAATTTAGCAAGTTAGATCTGCTGCTTCAGTTTCGTATATTTTCATTTCCTTCCAATGTGCAGTGATGAGAGGGGGGAAAAAACAAGGTGTACTCATTCTTTGTTAACCTTTATCGGCCTGGCCATTTAAATTCCGGTAATGGCCACGGGCCGGAGTTAATTTAAATGCCCGCCATTGTAGAGTAATAAAAATTGTAATCATGTTACTCAGAATGCTGTGATTTCTACAATTTTTGCGATGAACGAAATAAACGCTGCTTTTATCTAGAAAGAATATAGAATCAGATATTGTAATTTACAGATTTTAGAATCTGTAAAAATTGTTACATTGATTCAAAAAAAAAATCCCCAAATTTTGGGTGTCTGTCCAGAAAAATGCATAAAGCTTCTGCACAAAACGTTTCTGCAGTATAAATGCATGCTGCTGACACACTGTCTGGCTATGTCTTATCTGGTAAGAGAGGAAATTTTTATGCTTTTATAGCACTGGAACTTTCTGTATACAGGAGTGAGGTCAGTCTCTCAGAAACATTGCCTGTGTATATCAGCCACACAAGAAGTACTGTTATGCTTCTTAGAAAGGCCCCCACATGGCCCCTTGCTTCTACGTGCTTTCAGTCTTACGTACCGCATTCTGAATGGTGTGATTTACGAGCGGCCTCTCAATTTTGGCTTCTTCCATGCGAAATGGGGCCATGGTGCATAGTTGAAATTGCGATGTTTTATAAGCGTTACGAATAGAGGAGACCACTCACCATCACTGGTCTACTTCCTGCTGATATGAGACTGATGTTGCGTGTGCGCTTCGTGTGGAAAACAGAGTTACATACGGACAAAGTGCATGAATTGCGATGTCGGACTCTGCATTCAGTTACATGAAAAATTCAGTTAGACGATGCAGGAGGGAAGACAGCGTACTTATAAAGCTGGTGTCCAAAAATAATATAAGTAGAACAAGAATTTCTATCTTAAAATTAGATATTAAAACACTGTGTGTACGCGTGGACTGTGAGTCACCATACGGTGTCGTTCGGCCACTCGGCTTTACTTTAAAGGTCCCTATACGGGGTCTTTCAGCTCATAAAGGTTAATTAGATGTTTTACTAACTCTCCTTACAAGGACAGTCAGTCAATAACACTGCAGTCTCAGAACTTAAATCATATTTTATGTGTTAGTGACTAGACTCTTGATTTGGGTTGCTAATTGGATTTAGGGGACTCTTCGACACTCTTAACTGCAAATAGTTACAACACTGACACTAATCTACACACTTAAAAAATCACTACAGCACATTCTGAGTATTATTTTGTTATATCTTTGCTGCTTGTTGCTTGGTTACCATCTTCGCTAGGCATTGCTAGGTTATGGCTAGTAACCGTGGAGGGTCTTCACAGGCAAACACACACTGCCACTGCTCACTTACAGCTCATGCACTGCACTCGCCAACCACTGACTCAAGACTGGCTGGCCCCTGACTTATAAATTGCTGCTGACCTTTACCAGCACAGTGATTCTCATGAATGTATTTTACTGTCTCACATATCTGCTTGTCATGCAATTGTACTCCCTCACTGGCTTCCAAGTCCAAGTCCAAGTCACATTGCGACTGACGGCCCGTCAGTCTGTCTGTATTGGTGTTGAGCTCCGGCTGGGGCTCATGACGAGATTTTTTTTTTCTTTTTTCTTATATGATAGTTACTGTCCTGTTCATTTGGGGCGCCCTCTCTGACAAGAGGTCGGGTCTGTCATTTGTCAGTCATAGTCTGTGTTAGTAAGTCTATTGTCAGTATTTACTTATATTTACAAATTTAATCTTAATTCCTATTTCTATGTACAATATATATAGAATGCCTCCGTCAATCCAGGCTCAGTACAGCAGATTTTGCCCTATTTCTACCAGTATGCACTACCATGGCAGTCTAGTCACTTGAACGGTAGTATGCCTGACCGCCGCCAAGTAAGGCGAAGCCCAACACAGAAAGTATAAGAGGCTTGTCCCATTGGCCCTCATTGTATAGCCTCAGGGTGGACAACATAGAAAACACCACCTCCAGTGGTTCCTCTATCATTGTGTGTTTATTTGCTGTCTAGCAATGGCCTGCTTGTTTGATGACATGGGAGTGTGTTTACTGTCCCATTGCCTAACAATGGATGAGATACCTGTTTCCACAGGAATGTGTTTATCAGCCATTACCTAGCAATGAACAGCTTTTCTTGTTAAACTATTCCCTGGTGTCACAATATTAATTTTCTTCAACAATTATAATCTGCTTGTTTATCTCTAGAAATACTTTTAAACCATTTTTCCTTACCGTTATCTGGCTGTCATGTAGGTGGCTTAGGAGAGTATTGTAAGAAAGGTAGTAGAAACATATTAATGTCAGTTTACAAAAAACGGTACAGAAACTGTAAGGACATCCAGTAATATTACTATTCTGAATTTCTGCTTTTCAGCATCAGAAACCAAGTTGTCTCAGGCAAGTGGGCAGTCATTTTATTCAGGCCCTGCTAGTCTGTATCTGTCTGGTTCTGTATCCAAGGGCTTCGGCCATGTAAGGATGTGTTGGAGCGTGCAATAAATACAATACAGTACAATACAATACAATATCCTAGGCTTGTGTATGTGTTGAGTGGACAGCTTCTAATATAAGAACGTGTTTTGTTTCATTCAAGCATCTATGATAAGGAGCCTCATGAAGCACGGCCTGATGTTGTGGAGGAGCTGAAGAAGCAGCTGAGAGAGAAAGATCTTGTTCTCACAGATATTCGTTTGGAGGCACTTAGTTCTGCACACCAGCTGGAATCTCTGAAAGATACAGTCATCAAAATGAGGGTGAGTAAATGAGAAACCTCAGGTGGGTCAGGCTGTTACTTATTTATGTTCTACTTACATGTAAATGATTTGACTCTTCATGAACTGTTAAATTACAGTACCAGAGTACAGGATACTCTCAACTTGAATATTTGACGCTGGATTTAAAGTCTCTGCCTTAAGACTATATGCACTCATATGAGGCATTTAGCCACATCCTTAACTTATTATCAGCTGTTTGTTGAGCCAATAGAAGTTGAAGGTTTGATTTTAGATTGTCACATGCCATGGGAACTCTAGATTTAAAATTTCCGGATGAAGTGTTTATATTTCTCACAAGCTTTTATATGTTAATGGGAGCCCTATAAAGGCAGGGGAAATGATAATACTACATATCATTTATGTTCATGCCCAAGCCATGCCTCATTTATAATTGGTCTGTCTCAGAAATAATTTTATCCACATCCTGGACCATTTCCATGGAATGCATCTTACAGTTTTTATACTAGCTGTCTAGAAAGTTTTGTAATTGAATATGATGAACCTTCTTTGTCAGTTATATGAATATTATATATTGTCTGTCTTATATGTGATGTACTTAACATTTCACAGATACTGGATCTGTTTCCATTATGAGATGTAAGGGGAAAGATATGAGTCAACTGAGCTCGTTAGAAAGAGCTAGTCTGGTTAGTGAAACTAGCTCTTTAGCAGGCCCAACTGACTAGGATTCTTTCTTCTTATACACCTGCTGATGAAAATGGATCCAATTTTTGAAACCTGTGTATATCAAATATACCCCAGATAGTGGATATCATGTGTGAATAATGACTCGGCCATTGTTACAGACATTTAGAGAATTCCTTTTTTGTCAATATAGTGTCTTCTTTTTTTGTCACATATGCTGCAAAGTTTGTTTGTGCAGTGAAAGCGTATGTTACAGATTGGCACACAGTCTGTTCTCCATACAATATTATGTCTCAGTGGCAATGCCTGTCCTCTGATTAAATCATATTTTAAGTTGGTTATTTAATGATGTTAGTATTGAGAATGTATAGCAATGGATGATTAATGAATGTGGAGCAGTTGGTGGAATGAGAATTGGCAAGGAAAACTGAAGTATTCAGCGAAAACCTACCCCAATGCCACTTTGTCTATTGCAAATCTTACATGACCTGATCTGGGATCAAACTTGGGCCACTGCAGCCTAGATTCAATCCCAGATAAGTAGAACTTTTGTGTGTTTGCATGCATGCGTGTGTGAATGTGTGCACAGAGTCTTTGAGTGCACCTGGTATGAAATAAGATGCAGGTTAACTCCATTAACAGAGGACCTCTTTTGGTCTCAGGCTTCTCCCTCCCTGACCCTCTAGCAGGCTGAGATTTTGTTCGTACCAACTTCATCATCTTGTCCCGTATAATATTGTCACATGATTGGGTAATTCTAGATATGGTTTGGATTATTAATTGGATTTATTTGGCTCTTACTCTCGTAACTACAAACAATTGTGAAAGTCTGACTAAGTTACATGCTTCAAAGATCACTGTAACACATCACCGCACACATAAAGTGTTCTCAGTCTTCACAAGCTGTTGCTTGGTAGCACCTTCCAGTGGTGAATGTTCCCCTTCTTCTGGGTGCCTGAATTGTCTCTGGCCTCAGCTCAACTCTCAACCACCTTAACCATCAATTGAGCTACTAGTCCTCGTTATATAACCCTGGCATGGACCGCACAGAAAACATCTCTTTCATTATTGTGTGTTCTCTCATTGTGTGGGAAACATGTCCACAGAGCTGTTATACTGTCACCTATTTATGCATACATAGTGTGTCCAGGTTCTGTTAGGACTGTGTTCATTAAAAATACAAGATGAATTATTTTCAAAATTTCACTCTTTTTATTCAAAATGGTCTCCTTCTGAATCAGTACATTCCCTTTGGATGTCCTGGATGGTGTCATGATGGTCTCCTTTCATTGCCAACTTAACTTTTTGGAACAACCAGAAATCTGCTGGAGCCAAATCTGGTGAATACGGAGGATGATCAAGGACTGCGGTTCCTTTTCTGGCCAAAAAATCGTGCACGATCTTCAATTTGTGGGGTGGAGCATTGTCATGGAGGAGTGACCAGGAACCTTGCTCTTGATATTCAGGTCGAATTCAAAGAATTCTTGCCCACAAACGATTGAGGACTCTGAGATAATAATCAAAATTCACTGTCTGACCTGGCAGAAATTCCTTGTGAATGATTCCTTTGGAATTGAAGAAAACGGTTAGCAGTGTCTTTACTTGGCTCTTTTGCATGCACACTTTCTTTGGATTTGGCTTCTTTGGGTTCAACCATGCTGCACTCTGCCGCTTTGTGAGAGGCTCATATTGAAAACGCCATGTCTCGTCACCAGTAACAATTTATTTTGTAGATTCTGTATCACGTTGGGCCGACCATAGCATGACTTTGCAGTGTTCAAGCCTGGCATGTTTTTCATTGCTTGACAGCATCTGTGGTACAGACCGTGCACAGACCTTCCGTTTGCCCAAATCCTCAGTCAAAATTTGGTATACAGTACTTTTTGGTATTCCCAAAAGCTCCTCAGTGAGTCTTGCAGAAACATCGGTCTGATGCAAGGATTGAGATCCTTTTTTTTCAGTGCGACTTGTTTTTGGCTTTGATGCATGTGGAGCATCTTCAATGTCGTCCCTGCCTTCACAAAATACAGTATACCATCGAAAAATGTTTGAGTGTCTCAAACAATCACTACTGTACACACTTTTCATCATTTCGTATGCTTCTCCTGCTGTTTTGCCTAACTTCAAACAAAATTTGATGTTGGCTCTCTGTTCAACCGCCATTTATCGAGCGTCAGAAGAGTACTGTTACATTCAAGGTCGGAACACATGATGTAGCGATGCTTGCACTTAGAAATTATAGACGACCACAGCTGAAACTTCAAGAATCTTAATGCCACAACTCGCCAACAGATGGCATTGCAGGGCAAAATTTAAAAAAATGAGTCCTAACAGATCCTGGACACACCGTGTATGTTACATGGCAGTGGGTCTCACATGTCACAGTATGTATCATGCTTTTTCATGTCAGGTACACAATGCAGACCATTTATACAAAACTCTAGTATAGCCAGGTACCCACGATAAACAGTTCTGTATTTGTATTCAAAGGGCGCTATGAACATTTTGTGCTGTGAAAGAAGACATTCACAAGTCTCTCTTCTACAGTAATTCCTCCACTAAAGCATCTTCATGTCACTCATTTACAGAATGAAATGTTAAACCTGAAGCAAGATAATGAACGACTACAGCGAATTGTTACAAGCAAATCACTAACATCTTCACAGAGTTCACTTCCTATTACAGACAGCTTGGAAAGAAGGTTCAGCATGACTGAAACATCAACACCCCTGCCAACAGGTTTGTCATTTGAGCATCATTATAATAATAATAACAACTTATTTTATAAAGAATAAGTAATGTCTCTGTATCTCCCTTTCTAACAATAACAGTTTTCTATGAGTCGTTTCTTCTGTGTTAACTATTATGAGGGTGAATCAGAAAATTACTGTATAAATATATTTCTACAAGACTGTACATAAANTGGTCTGTGTGCGCACTTCTCCCCTCTACTTTCTCTACTGTCCCCTTCTCTCCTTCCCCTTCCGAGCCGACTTAGCGGCCTAACATCTGGAGCTCTAGGCTCTTGGTTTTCCAACCGTCGATGGGGTAGGTTGTTCTCGTTTCGGACCACCGGTCGAGGTCATCCTCGACCGTCTAAATTAATTTCTCTACATAATATTCTATCTTAGAAGAGCGAACTCTGCAATCATTTTCATACAGGTATTTACATTATGTTTGTATTCTTTCTTTATTAGTATAATATATTTATTCTTTGTTAATATTTGATTTGGTTATTTCTGTTTGGGTATTTCCGCCTTGCTGATTTCTTTGTCCTCCCCTGCTCGCCCGGTCCTGTGATCACGTGAACCTATATGCAACCTGAAGGATCCTCTGTAGGGTACTTACGCTTCACTACCAGATTGTACATAAAACCGATATGTTAAACATTCAGGATTGTAGTTCACCCTAAAGTCGCTTTTCCACATAATTGCCCTGTACATTGAGACATTTATCCCAATTGAACACCAGTTAATTGGTGTCATCTTGGAACTACTATGAGCCCTTTGCCTATATGGTCTTTTTGCTTCCATGACCTCAGACTTTTGTTTTAATTGATGACCCGAACAAGGTCCATGTCAGAACGGTACAGTATGTGATTCAGAACCACCAAACCAAACTTCCTCAGGCAGGTAAATTTTCTGTCTGCCCTAATAGATAGATGGTGAAGGTATGAAACTTACAAATTATTCCAGCAAAATTTAACAAAATTTGAAACTGTTCTGGTTGAAATTATGTGCAGATATTTAATTATGCAATTATTAATCTATACTCTTAGGTAGATTTATCATATCATTTTGCAGGAAAGCAAGCATTATAAATTTGCCTGAACTGATTGTTTTAAGGTTTCTCTTTCCACCTTCATAAAGGTATATAAATATTCTTCAAATTTTATGGCGCTACTTATCATCTGTGGTTTAAACTATTCACTTGTTTTATTATAATTCTTTATTATATTATTATAATTCTGTTCCAGACCCAGATGGCAAGCGTGTTGTAGTTTCAGTTTTCCTTGGCTCACATGGAAGTTACCATAAATATATAGAAGATGGGAATACTCCATCATCATGTGTGATTGCAGCACTTTTCCTAAGTGGGAAAACAAAATGGGACATGTTGGACTGCCTTATCAGGAGAGTTTTCAAGGTACAGCAGATATCAGTCTCAGTATTCAAGAAAACCTAGCCCAATACCTAATACAGCAAAACTGTAGTAAAGCAAGTATGGCTTATAACGAGGTCTTCATTCTAACAGAAATCATTCGAACCATCAGTTTATTAATGTTACATGTTCCAAAAGAACCTTTTCCTGCACCTTCATCATAGCAAACGACTAGCCACCCATGTCTTCTGAACCAACTGCACTTGCATTTTGGCTTCTAATGCTATTTATGACTAGCAGCCTGTAGAGCTCCCATTAACCATCCTCTCTTCCCTGTGCTTGTCTAGGAGGAAATTTGCATTCCATAATCTGACAGTAGCTTAACCCCATGACATTATAACCATCCAGAAATATCCATCACTTGATATCCACTGCATTGTACAATATCTTCCCCTCCTTGCTGGACTGGTTTTCTCTTCCTCTAAGCTTCTTCTGGCCTAGGAGGGAAGATTATATTGCAGAATACAACTGCAGGTGGATGTGTAAAGTTTTATAACATCAAATGTCTGCTGTGTTTCAGCTGCTGCCGACTCCAAAATACCTCCTTTTCTCACCAAAAATGGAAAATATGGTGAAACTTCGATTTTGCATTCTCTGATTTTGTTTTCCCCCAGTTTTCATTGATGATAGCTAAAATCCCATAAGAACAATAAGAAATTTTACATTCTTACAAATGTATGTTGTTCATGAATTTGAATTTTATTTTTCAAACCTCATGTGAGCTGACCAATCTCAGACACAAACACACCTTCATTCTCACTGTTACACTTGAGTAACTGCAGTCATTTTTTTTTTACTAAAAGTTTGTTGCAGATGATCTGTACATGATACTAAGCATTGTATGTAAATGTGGCATCCCATTTATAAATTAATTTTTTATCTGAAATATGTATAATAGAGCAAAATGGAAAGCATTTAGGATAAATGATGAAATGTAGTGTTTTAATGCACATTGCTGCACATATTGCAACACACATCAAACTGGCGTCAAATTTGGGACTTTATGTTGGTTATAGTGTAAGAAGAAGAAGAAGACCAGAGACAGAGAATGGAGCACTATAGAGACTAAAACATTGTATATGAGATACATTTGCCTTATGCAGGTAATAGATCAAAACCAAGAGCAAATGTACATTCTCCATTTGCATGAATGTCCTTATATAGTGGAGCGATGGATCTAAAATCTCCAATCAAGATAATTCAAGGACATCATTTGTGTTGCAGGAGTATGTTCTGCGAGTGGATCCAGTCTCAAACCTGGGCTTAAGTGCGGAGTCAGTATGCAGCTACCACATAGGGGAGGTCGTGCAACACAAGGACAGTCAAGTGCCTGATCTACTGCCTTATGGGTATCTAGTCGGTGACTCGCAAAACAGTATTTATGTCTGCCTGAAAGGTGCTCTCCACAACTGCAGTGTAGATGCACTTGCCTTTGAGACTCTCATCCCCAAGTCAATTGTGCAAAGGTACTGTGTAGACATGTTCTCTAGTAACCTTCCTGTGTTACATGATTTTTAATTGTGCTTACTGGAAAACTGAATATTGATCTCAATTTATCAGTGAATACAAACACATTCATAACACAATTCCTATAGATTTTGTTCCAGTTTAAAGCAATGAATGTGATGTCTACATTACAAATTATATTTTTCACTGGACTTTAATTTACATTAAATATAATTTGTTGATTCTTTGCTTCTAAGATCTTCAAACAACACTTGGTACCACTGCCATAAAACAGAGAAACTAAAATTAACATACTTTAAGTGTGGAAGTTGTAATATCACTTCAAAATGCCTGAAGCTCTGTATTTTTTGGGTATTTGCAATGCACAGGTACGTGTCACTCCTGAGCGAGCACAGGAGGATCATCCTTTGCGGTCCAAGTGGCACTGGGAAGTCTTACCTTGCCAATAAACTAGCAGAATTTCTTGTACTTCGTGATGGGAAGGAGTCCACAGCTGAATCAATAGCCACCTTTAAGTAAGTTCTGTTAAACTTGAAATGAATGTCAGATTAATTTTTAGTGCATGTTGGCATGAATGTTACTTTTGCTTCATTTGAGGGTACATGACCTGAGTCTGAGCTGATTTTCTAGAAAATGAGGGAGCCTAGACATCTCACAGCCCTATGGGCCTCCACGGCCTGTTGCAGGCCTTACTTTAAGGGTGTTCAACTTGCCCCAACACTCTTATGAGTGTATTGTATGAGAGTATTGCAAAATTCTTTCTTGAGAAGTGTATTTAGCATATATTCACTCCAGGAATTACACAGATTGCAGACTTTCAGCAGGGACTTGCATACCTTTCTTGTTGTTCAACTAGATTCTGTAAATGTGCAGTTTCAGTGTTCTTGCAACTTCTTGATGCAGAGGTCTCTTTGAGAAACTGATAACCACAGCAGGTGACGAAATTTTCCACTTGTTATGAAACTTGATGTTGCATTAGTGTTATCAAGAGACCGCCATTGTACCCTGCCCTAAGCTAGTTGAATCAGTTCCATGCCATGCCATCCTGTTCTTTTAAGATTTATTTCAATATTGTCCTACCATCTATGCCTAGATCTCCAAAGTGAACTTGCTTGAGGTTTTCAGACAAAAATTTTGTATGCATCTCTCATCTCTATGTATACAACAAGTCCTGCTAATCTCAAGTAAGGAAATTTCAATTAATATAGTTCTGATAATGTGATTTTCTTATGTTTACACTAAGGTAGTATAAGGCAAAGGAGAGGGAGTAGATAGAAAAAGAGTGAGCAAGAAGGGAAGCGGAATGTTTTGAGAAATATGATGTACTAAGCTAGGCTATGCACATCTCTTAACTAATGTAATGTTGTCATTTGATACCAGCATATTTTACTGTACTAAGTTGGAAGCATAAATTGCATCCAACACATTGAACTTGACTCTACTGAAGTTGTACACTTCTTCAGAGAATGTATCCTGTTGTGTGTATCAATATATTGTGACGCGTTACCTTACGTCCATCACCGCGACAACCGCCGCAATTGGAACGGACACTTCCACGACACTGAATACGTGGAAACTGTGGAGTTCCCGCAGTGACAAATCGTAGCAACGAATTGTCGTTGAGTAAAAACGGATGAGACGAGGCACGTTACCGGTGTAATCTATAAGGAACATTCCCGAAGCAACAGATTGCCGAACACATGAGATCGAACCTTGGCGAGGGGTGTCCTTTATTGAGTCTGCGTGCACCTTATATAAAGGGCCTGCTCTCGAACGGGAGTTGAGAATATTTGAGTATTGAGTATTAGAATATTGGAGTATTGAATATTGAGAACGAGACAATCTTGGGATAGCCGCCGCCAGAGACAGTTGAGATCCAAGCACGGCCAAGGATAGTTGAGACATCGCATTGGAGTATTGGGCCAGAAGTCAAGTGATACTGCAAGCGATAATAATTGTAAGGTGTGTAAGAGTGAGTGTCCGATAAAGATTCGCAAAATACGAGACCCACGTGAAGTTTTTTGTCGTGTGACATACCCAACACTTGACAATATCATTTTTATATATCCATCAACATAATAGTCAAATAAATAACTCACTTCCACATTTGTGTCATCCAAGTTTATTTAACTTATGATACAGCTACGTAACGTGTCGGCTATAACAGAGCCATCATCAGGCGATACAATATGTAAAGTCAAAATCCTGAATTGTAATTCTTATGGATCCATATTACAAATGTCATGTATATTATAAAATGATTTATAGAATAATTTGTACCGTTTTATGCACAGATTAATTATGCTCCTACATGAAGAGTTTGATTATGTTAAAATAACTAGTATTGTAGTCTTCCTAAAATTGGTATATACAGTTATGTTAGATTAAGATTTTGATGCACGTGTTCATATCATTTAAATTATCGAAACGGTGTGCTATTTTTTTGTATTAATGTTACACATCATGTGTTAAATCACTTTTAGGCTTGTTATACATTATGCAGTTGAATCATTATTGTCATATTGTTTCAGTGTGGACCATAAAAGCAGTAAAGAACTGCGTCAGTATCTTGCCAATGTAGCAGAGCAGTGTGAGAATAATGCATCAGACCTTCCCTCTGTAATCATACTGGACAACCTCCATCATGCAGCTTCTCTTGGAGAAGTGTTTAATGGCTTCCTGAACGCAAAATATTCCAAGTGCCCTTACATTATAGGAACAATGAATCAAGCAACATGTTCTACCACCAACCTACAGTTGCACCACAATTTCAGGTAATTTAAATCAGGTTAAGTCATTATATGGAACTTTCTGAATAGCAAAACAGTAGACAATAATGAGGACAGTAAACTCTACTTCAGATATTTTTTCTGATTTAAGTAAAATCATTTACATCCATTCTCATTTCCATTAGAGTAGGTTGTCTTATGACAAAGTCTTCTCTGTTTTTCTCACTCCTGTCAAAAAAAAAACCGTTGCAGTTTCACATAGTAACCCATTAACATGCTTTGGTCTTTTAACTGTGATTCCTTCCAAGACTCTGTCTGTTCTTGAAAGCAATTCTGAATCAACTGTCACCTTGCTGATCCTGTCACTGCTTCACTGAAATCTTTTAGCCATTTTTCCACAGTTCCTAACAGACTTTTTTAGCTACTGTGACAGCACCTTTTTAAAATAACTAAATTCATGCTTTATATTCTCTTGTTAAGCATAATTACTTAGTCAGTTCTCAAATAAGGACACAGGATGGGAATGATAACTTAATATGAAATTACCTGTCCTTGCAGGTGGGTTTTATGTGCGAACCACATGGAGCCCGTAAAAGGTTTCCTTGGTCGGTTCCTGCGACGACGCTTGTTGGAAGCGGAAGTTCAGGAAGGTGTACGCAACAATGATCTGAACCGTATCTTCGACTGGATACCAAAGGTGTGGCAGCACCTCAACAAGTTCCTTGAAACACACAGCTCGTCTGATGTCACTATTGGTGAGAAATTATCAGTTTAGACTTGAGTTTACCATGTGGGTCATCACATATGCTTTGCACCTTTCTTTTGTTTGTATTTATGTAAAAAATTGATATAAGTATTATCTCATTGCAAATTGTGTGCTCTCTTTCATGTTATATACTGTGTGACTGGTCACTTGTGCAATTTGTTTTCAAAAATCATCCTTTTTGTATTTCATGTCAGCCCAAATTTCAAGTTCTTTTTATGACATGCGGAGACCTAGGTAAAATGTCAGAACTGCTGGGTTTTTGGGCTTTGTCCATCAACCAGTATTCTTAAAAAACTAGAGCACGCAACATTTTGGAAACTGGATTTATTTCCATCCTCAGGTGAGAGGGTAGACACCTACTCTATTGGGTCCCTTAGAAAGAGCTAACCTAAATCACTGGTCCAGAGTATGTGTCTGCCCTCTCACCTGAGGATGGAAGCAGGTCTATTTTCTGAAACATCATGTTCTGTAGTTTTTTAGAATGCTGGATGATGGACAAAGTCCCAAAACCTGGTGATTCTGAGTGTTATACACCATTGTCAGAACCCTTTAGAATCTAAGTAAAATGTGGGGTCAGAATGAAATTGAGTGGTGAATTAGTTTTGTCGTTTGCTTGTAAGGCTTAGCATTCCATTACCATTGTTTGAAGAACTGAACACAAACAACTGACCTGCAGGTCTTATTATGCTAGTGGGAGTATTACCAAAATAAATACAACTTTTCTTGTATGTAAACACCATCACAGTTACTGTCTATAGTCTTATTTTTCTAGTGGTCAGCAGTTGGTTGGGTGGTTTGTTTCCAGTGGCTACATTGTGTTTCTCACAACAGATAATGATTTCTTCTTGTTATAAGGGCACATATTATGAGAGAGAGATATTGGAGAGGATCTGATTTTTGGAATAACTTGCATGAAGCATAATACTTCGGTATAAAGATTTACAGACTGACATGACTGGTTATACTTACCCTGTGGCCATATACTTGTGAATCACATCTTTACTCAGCATTGTCTGGATTCACTTCCTCCTCCTTATTTTCTCATGTTCTTCTCATATTCGAGAGCCTCGATAGCGCAGACAGTATAGCGACTGGCTACGGACTGGATGACCAAGGGGTTGGAGTTCAAGTCCTGGCGGGGGCAAGAATTTTAACTTATCCAAGTTGTCCAGACTGGCTCTGGGGCCCACCTGGCCTCCTATTCAGTGGGTACCAGGGGCTCTTTCCCTGGGGGTAATGTGGCTGGGCCTTGAAGCTAAGCATTCACCCCCAATTATTGCTGAGGTCAAGAAAACATGGGTATATATATCCATTCCCCCATATGTCTTCGTGGTGTAATGCTTAATTAGTTAAGCATAGAGACACCTTTACCTTTGCCTTCTCATATTCACAAGAGGAAATGTAAGTCACATAAGGTTAATAAACAGGAATTTTGCAAGCAGGCATGATGGATGTGTATGTATATGATAATTACATAGCAGAGATATGTGTAATCACATGCAGTATGCATCGTTAATTACAAGCCTCAGAACACTTCAGAAAATGGTTGCAAGCTGATGCTGCAAAAATGAAAGATTACAAATTTTATAAAGACAATATAAAGCAGGAATACTATATAGAAGACAGTCTAACAGCTTCTGATAGCACGTGACCATAAAACAAAACTCACATTTTGGATCCACAACCAAATGGAGTTTGACCAGGCCCTCCCAGCTGGTGCAGTCCATTCTCACACTCTGGCTATCTCCAGCCAGCTTCCTTATGAGGATATCCAGTTTTTTCTCCATACAAGACTGCAACAGAATGAGTCAGAGGTCCAAGATATACTTGGAAGTATACATCCTAATATCAAGGCAAAAGGAGAGAATGTAAAGGCTGTGATATCATGTAGCCTTGTAGGTGTTTCAAGGGAACCTCCTGCCTCCATCAACAGTTGCAGGTTATCACATTTCAATGTTATGCTCTGTGTTGTTAACGCATTAATTGAAAGAAATTCCTAGTGGATTCATTCTTTCAGTAAGCCAGTGATGGGTAATGACTTATGGTAATGTGCTTGCAACAGGAATTGGAACTGAGAGGTGGTAAGTAGCTAAAATATTTGTTTACAACTCTGAGACAAAATTCACTTCATTTATATGTGAATTTTGATTTTACATGTTGTGTTTTACATTCTTCCCTCTCATTACAGGTCCTCGGTTGTTCCTGTCATGTCCATGTGACCCAGATGGATCTCAGGTATGGTTTACTGATTTGTGGAACTACTCAGTTGTACCATATCTGCTAGAAGCTGTTCGTGAAGGGCTGCAGTTGTATGGGCGGCGGGCTCCCTGGGAGGACCCCACTCATTTCATTTGTCAGACTTACCCATGGACAGGAAGCACTGTGCAGGGAGGTCAGGAGGCACTACTTAGGTCAGTATCTCATTCAGATCTTTTGGAGGGTTACCACATCATGTATCAGAATAATGCTATATTTACCCAGCCATGAAGGAAGGTTTTTTAAATGTCATTTTCGTTCAAAATATGGGTGACCTTATGTTCAGGAATGAAGAAAAATCCATAAAAAGAAACAAGCAAAATTTAATTATATCTGGGCAGATAGATGTCTTGCAGCCATGCTGTATTTCAGAACTTTTGTGTTAATTGACTGTCACAGATTATCAGATTACCATCACACATGAAGCCAGTTTATCAAGGTCTGTATTTTTAGAGCTGTAACTTGCTATTGAGATACATTTCATAATGATGTAATATCTGTGAAATGTGAATGTTTGTATCCATCATCATTGCTACTTCCCAAGCAAAGAGAATGATGCCAAAAATGGAAATATTCTCATATGGTTTCTCTGTGGATATGTGAGTATTGATTTATGCTGTCATTGTCAGATATGGCATAGTTTGTAGATATGTAGTTAACCTTTGTGGTGATTATTAAGAACTGATTTAGGTTACTGTATACATTATTAACTCTATAAAGTCCAGTGGTTACTATAATACCACATAATTTAACATACAGAAACTCTGTGTTTTGCCTGCAGAGTATATTTGCACGTTTCATATGATTCTCACAGTAAACAGATTATGCCTGGAAACAGCATTAACTGGGTGATCTATGTAACAGAGACATTATGTGTTTCTTGTGAGGTAAGAACTGAACTTTTATATATTATTCAGATAAATTTCAGCCTTTAAACGATTATTGTTACAGTTTGGAGCAGTTATGAAGTCAGGTTACAAATGTACGTGTTATGGCAAAGGATGAAATGTGCATCCCCCCCCCCCTTTGCTGTAGCCACACAGATGTGTTATTCAGTAACGTGCAGTTGATGTGCAGTAATAATGCAGCTTAAGTGTTTTTTTTTTCATGTTCTGTGTTGTGTGCTTAAGTAATATTTCTAGCCATTTTTGTAAATGGTGAGATAGGCAGTAAATAAAAAGTTTTACACGAATAAACAAGGTAAATAGTGTATAAAGTTCAAAATACTACTGATTTGTTTTGCTGCTAATATTTGAAGCTATCATAATCCACATGGAAATATGTGTACTAACATTAGAGTTACACTTTTCTGTCTTGTTTCAGATTGAAACAAATAAAGATATAGTCAAACACTTTAGCACTAAACAAAGGGTGAAGAAGTTATTAAACTAGATGGTAAAGAGAAACCTGAGGCATACAAAGAAATGCATGATAGCAGATACTATAATTTGAATTACTACAGTAAGAACCATTATCAGTACTATAGTTTTTCTGAACATATTTTGAAATATTTATAATTTTCAGTATGTATACATTTTTCCTTTGAATAGCTTCTCTGTTGTTCACTGTTGATGCTTTGTTGTGAGTGTCGTTCACTAACTGTAATAAAACTTCAAGAATAGATGGTAAATGTTGCACAACATCAGAAGTTTCCAACCACTGGTCTGAATGTGGTATAATAAAGTTACAGTGTACATGTATATGTAAACGAATAAAGTGGTAGTGTAATTGGTTGAGGTAGTATGGTACAAGCCGGAAGGTCACGGGTTCAATTCCCGATGATGTCATTGGATTTTTTCAGTTGGCCTAATCTTTCCAGCCACACTGTGGCTCTGGGGTTGATTCAGCCTCTAACAGAAATGAGTACCAGGAATTTTCCTGGGGGGTGAAGTGCGGCCGGTGCGTAAGGTTGACATCCTTACAGCCATCTGTGAGCCGATTGTCTAGATAATGTGGGACCCTCAACGTCTCACAACTCTATGGACCTCCGAGGCCTGTTACAGGGATAGCTTTACCTTTTTTTTTATTTGGAGTTCAGTCCATTAGAAACTTTCACATACAAAATTATAATGTGTAGATGCAAACTCTAGTAATGTGTAACCATAACTAACTCCAAGCTCAGGTACAGCAAATAGTTATGGTATGTATAAAAAATTCTCTGGTTGTTGTAAAATCATGTTTGTGACAGTCATTGAATTGTATTCTGAATGAAGCCGGTTTACAAACCAGGTCACTAAGATTCATTGTAATGGTGTCCTCACATCTTTCTACAATCTCCCACATCTTTCCTTAAGGTTATGCAGCAACATTGTATATGAATGTTTCTTCCTTGAAACCATGCTGTGTTCCACTCGTCTTGATTCAGTTACCTTAAAAATTCCAGGCAAAATTACTAAGTATGAAGCTCTTCTTTATAAAATGTCCCCCACTCTTCTGTAACTTCATATCTTTATAGATGTATTCTAAGAGAGTAGATTGTGTCATAGGTTACGACCAGAAGATGTTGGTTATGACGTACAGCAAAGTGGAGGTGTTGGAGGCAGTAGCATCAAGTCAATGAGTTCCACACAGAGTGACACGGATGGTGATCCACTGGTGAGTATAACATCTAATAAGTTTTGGTGCCCATAGTAACACATATATGCACATAAAGGAGAAGGTAAGTGATCAAGTCAGAATGTATTTTGTAGATCTTAAATAATGTAAAATTACTGATAGAATAGCTAGTCAACATGCCAGCACTGAATGAAAGTGAATTAATATCATTTAATTATGAACATAGGTCTGTCATAAAAATATGCATTTCGTGTTTGTCTCTCAGTTTTGCATTTCAAGATATGTTTGTTGATGGCAATATAGATATCAATTGAAATGGTACACTGGGGGGCACGTGGTAGCATAGTTAGTTGAGGGGCTATGCTACAAGCCAGAAGGTTGCGGGTTCAAGTCCCAGTGAGGTCATTGGATTTTTTTCAATTGACCTAATGCTTTCAGCCGCACTATGGCCCTGGGATTCACTCAGCCTCTAACAGAAATGAGTACCAGGAATTAATTAAATAAGTTTCCTGGGGAGTGAAGCGCAGCCGGCACTTAAGGCTGACAACCTTACCGTCATCTTTGAGCCGATTGTCTAGATAATGTGGGACCCTCAACATCTCACAACCCTACGGGCCTTCACGGCCTGGTACAGCCAAAGAGAAGAACATAGATTTGGGATTTTAAGGAGATTACTTGGACCTAAGACAGAGGTAGTAATGGGAGGATGGCAGAAACTACACAGTGGGGACTCTCATAATTTGTGCTGTTCATCATGTATTATTAATGTGATCGGTTGAAGGAGGATGAGATGGTTGGGGCATGTAGCACCCACAGACAAATTGAATATACAAAATTTTGGTCAGGAAAACTCCAAGGAAGAGAACACTTGGAAAACTTAGGCATAAATGGAGGTTAATATTAAGATAAATATTAGGAAAAAAGGATGTTAAGGTAAGGACTGGGTTCATCTGACTCAGGGTACATTTCAGTGGGAGGCTGTCTGAACATAATAATTGTCTTTGTATTCCAAAAAAGCATTGGATTTCTTGACTGGCTGAGGAATTATTAGATTATTAAGAAACATCCTGTTAAATTGTTAAATAGTTTGTTATTTTGTTTGTTGGTTAATTAGTTAGACAATTCAGTTGTACTGTACAGAATATAAGTATCATTTGGTTGTTTGCTTGTAGTTGAATATGTTGATGCGACTTCAGGAAGCAGCCAATTATTCTAGTCCGCACAGCAGCAATGACTCCGATGCTGTCAGCATTGATTCACATCCTAGCAGTATTCACTCTGATGATAAAGCAAGCTCCCGGGTAGAATCAGCCCTGTGAAACAAATTGATCACCTAATGGTCATTGCTTGTCTCCTCCTGATGCATTTTCATTTTCTTCCAATCAGAGTGTCAAAAAGAGATGTTACTATTGAAAGAGGTAAATAAAGTAAGAGTGTTTCAGCTCAGTTATATGTGAAAATATTTTTACTTGTTTAACAGGAATCCTTGTGTTGTTTAGGTATCCATTTTATGACCAGAAGATTGTAATTTTGAGGTTTTGTTGATGTAACTTTTGTATATATTGAAAAATCATTTGTCTCAACCAGATAATTTATTTCAGAGAAATAAATATAGTCCAAGTAATAGGCATGTAAGTAAACAAAAAGTGATCATTTATCATACCATGTAATTCTAAAACAGGAAGTGGAATATGAAAGTAATATCATATTGTCATGTGTTAGTCACAGTACATTAATTAATTTACAAATAATTGGTGTAGTGCATCATTTTGAACATTGCAGTTTGTTTCATTCATAATAAAAATGATAATATGAGGTGCTGAATAAAAAGGTGACACAAGTTACATTTCTTAAAATTATTGGAAAATGCATTTGAATTTAGCTTTAAGAATAAAAATTTAAACCACTACTGGCTTAAGCAAATTTATATACATTGTTTGCAACGAATTATTCTTTTTAAGACAAATATATTTCCAGGTGAAATGGAAAGAATTTATTATAATAAAATTCCATTTACAGGAAAATATGTTTTCACTATTGTCAGTAACTTGGCAGCAAATGCGGTATAAGTGTACTGAACAATACAAACATGCCGGTCTTGTAATTAAAATAAACACTACACATATCAATGAGTAGTCACTGTCTGTGTTGAACACTCTACTGTCTGACTGAATGTCATAATTTCCTGACTCCCTCATTATTGTCCTTCATCCTTATTGTGATCTATGTACTTGTCCTCTACCCACTCTTGTGGTTGTGCTTTCTTCTTATCCTGTATAAAAAAATTGAGATATCTAATTCATGCTGTCCTGGGTGAATCACAGGTAGCAGTGCCTGGGGATTCTTCAGTTTTGGTTCTTTAATAAGTAGAGGCTATGTGTACAAAGCAGCAGTGGTTGGTGGTCTCCCTTTCTGATATTCCTTTAAGTCTTAGGAACTTAGGGTTCATTGTAGACTTCACTAAAATAACTTACGATCTCTGCTTCTCGAAATTCATCCAGCATATAGAAGACAATTTTAATCTATGCCTTGATTCATCCTTGCATTTGGATGGATTCATATTAACAACAGAATCCACTGAGATAAAATCTAATGTTGCCATAATTCCTTCTTGACTTAAGAAATTGTGTTTACCTAATCATCAGAGATAAGTTCATGTTCTGCTTTAGTCTAGTATGTTTCTGTTACACTCCTGTAGCATTCTAAGTAGGTATGTCATTCTAAAAATTTATGGTCAACAGATTCTAAGGTCCTGTCTTTAAGAGTAGATATCTAGAATGTTGCCATGTTTCTCTTTCTCTTCTGTCCACCATAGCCATCACTACGAGTATATGCTGTGATATTTTCAGCAGCATTATGCTCTGAAACAAGAAACAGCTTGTAGGATTTTGGGTTCTCACAGCATAGTTATGAAGAGTTCTGTCTTCTGGGATATGCCTGTTGAAAGTCAACTTGACTTTCAAGAGACTACATGGTGTTATTGCTGAAGATGGAACTTTACAGTCAACAAGTTCTTGTGAACCATGGGGTGCAGTGGATTCATGTCACAGATATACATTTGCTTCTTCTGTGGCTAGATTTTGAATATAAAAACTGTAAGTCCAGAACACACCTATGTAATATTATACCTTACTGGTAGATATTGCTGGAATGAGTAATGACTTGCAGATCAAATTATGCAGCCATTGTTTCCTGTTATCACTGCTGAGCAAGCAACTTGTCCTCTCATTTATGATGTTACAGCATTTTGCAGCATTCTGTGTAACACCTCTAGCTATTTCTGCACGTGTTTACATTTAGATTTGAAAGCCATTCAAAAAAAAAAAAAGAGATAGTTATTTGCAAGTTTCAGAATGAAGCTGATAAAAACTCAAATTTAACTCATTACTGAATTTGAGACAGTACTGTCATTCTTTTACAGGTGATATGTTTCATTCCTTTCACACATCTATATATATAATTCATACATATTCATGATACTGAAATGCTGTGGAAGATATTTTCTCTCTGGTTTATACTGCAATGAGTGATGATTGGTGGTACTTTGGAAAGGAATTAATGTGACTTTTGCCCAGATTTTGTTGTAATTCTGGTAGTGGTGGTCTCCCTTTGCAGCCTCTTTAGTAATGTTTTGTAATACCAGTTGACTTAGCTCTGTCAGTTGCCCTTGTGAATCTGCTATTTCTTATAGATTAGGTTCTCAAGAAAAAAATCCTTACACACTTTTTTCTAAACAGATGGAATAGTTCCTACTTTGGTACACACATGTATCTTCTATGTCATGATGGTTCTTCCATAGTAATGCTAGATCATATTAGGAATTTTATGGTTTCCAGGAACATAACTGAATTCATGAAAACTGCCCTTATGTTTTATCTTTTAATATATTTTCACGTCTCCTGGTAACATGACGAGAAATGAATGGGCTCTGGATTAGATGAAGTTGTTTATTGAATAAGTCGTTTACAATACAATCACTCTGAAATGTCTTCCAGACGATGCAATCTGGCTAGTCTGTAGTCTATTGGTTTTTAGCTGAGCTGGTTTCTTCTGCTCAGCTCTGCTCAGTTCACCTATGATCTGTTCTGACCTCTTTTCAATTCTCCTCTGTTATCTATGACCTCAATTCTGACCTCTCTTGGTCTGTTATAACCGACAGTCAGACTGCCTAGAAGACACCTTGATCAAGGGTCCCATTTCACATGTTGTATGCACCAGTAGCTAAAGGTATTCATTACCGCGGAAACTGTATTAGTCCTGGCTTTCATTTCAATAGTAATGTCTGTATGTCGTGTGAACTTGTTTTATTGTCACTCTGACAACGATATGGAACTGTGGATACCAAGCTATTGCCTCACAATGAACGCCCACTCTGACTCAGATATTCTGGCTTTTAGGTGGCACGCCACAATATCATTGTTGCACTGAAACCTACATGTATGATTGAATTCTTTCAGTGATCATCTGTCTTTAACTTCTCCATGATATATATATTTCTGACCCTTGTTTCTGAGTCACTTTGAACATTGTAATTCAATAATATATTTAATCAATCACATTATTTCACATGCTTCCACAAGCCTGCCATCTTATCATACATATCATTTTACTAAATCCTGTCTCTTCTTCTATGAGGATTGAAACCAGACCAAAATAGAGATTCAGCAGTTTATGATACATCTACCCCAGGTTCTTTTTTTAGCTTTGCCATATCAAGATTACTTATAACACATAAAATCAGCATCTTAAATTCTGTACCTTGTGCCACCTTTTACCTAGCCTTTTATATTTAAGAGGCGTGGAGTAATTCTCAACAAATCTTTGATCCAATTGTAAAATTGCACTCTTGCTGTCTAATTGATGGATCAGCATAATCTCAGGCATATAATCATACATAATCTACTGTAATATTCAAGAGAACAAATATGTATTTTGATTCCTGAAATTTAATGAAGAAGTGCACGTCTTATATTGAATCACATAATTCTTGATGTCCAGTAAGGCCTGTATATTACTGGTAATCCATTATTGTAGTTATTGATCTCCGGGCCAAGATACTCAGAACTAAAAAGTGAGGTAAAATTACTGATTGGAGTTTTGAGTATTGACTTGGAATGGTGTGCATGCTTACATCAGTTTTATAACAACTTATGTGTATTTAACCAGTTCACACCATCATGCCATGACATGAAAAATATGATATTTTAACATGACTGATGAAAATTAGTTTTGTGATCAGACAAGCAGAAATTCACAACAGTCACACATATTAACAAACAGTGCTTTGGTTACTCTTGGTTTTTTAAAATCAATGTTAATGTGCTGGCAGTAAGCAGATTACAGCACTTTTAAAAAAAAATTAATGTGATACAAGTTTTTACATTTTCTTGTTATTTATTGTGTTTATGTGGTGATCTAACTTCACAGACATCCCATTGTCAGTATATAAAATATCCTTATTTCCATCGTAGTTGGAAGGCTAAAAGTGATTGGCAAGTAGGTCTTAGTGTAATTATTCAGGTTCTGATAATGACCATAATCATGATATATTCTTAGCTGGAAATATGATGACCAAACAGAACCACTGTACAGCCTAACACATAGAAAATATGAACAGTGTGAATTAGGATGATAATTCAAATACCACATTCCCCTCTCCTTTGACCCTACATTGGGAAGATGAAAAAATGGACAATACTTCTGTTTAACCATCAGATTTACTGACATCTGTTACTTTACTATATTTACTTACTGAGAGCATGGTTGTATTTCCTATTATCTTTAGGCTTACTTTTTTTGGGGGTAAATTCCTACAGCAAAATATATGCACAACAAAAAACAGTTTGCAATTCTCTAGTGACAGCCACGGGGTTTATTAGTTTGTTTTTTAACAATGCTGTCAGTGTTGAGTATATTTAGCATCAGTGATAGGATGAGTTAATGAGTGTGAAACAGTAGGTAAAATGAGAATTCTCAGGGGAAACCAAAATACTCTGAGAACATCTGCTCTGCTGCCACTCTCACCATGCCACTGTCTTGTTTAGGTGCTTTAGTAGTCTGCTACTATAATTTATAGGGTCTTTGATGTATTCCTTGCAGTTATTATATTCACTAACATTGCATGAGAAAGGAAACACAATTTAACTTCATGTCGTTCATGCTCTTGTATTATTATATTTGGTACTGTGAATGTCAGAGAGAAGTAAAGGGAAACATGAGGTTAAAGATGTATAGACACACAGGTCACAGTAGTAAATCTTAACATTCTTGTAGCAAGAACTCAAATCATGCCTTGGACATTCTCCTCCATTTCCCACAATGCATTTCCTTAAATCTCTCATAATGCTATCTATCTGGAATGTGGTTATTTTCTCAGGTTTCCCCACCAAGATTTTGTATGCATTTTTTGTTTCCCAATCCTAGTTACATTCTCAGACCAATGGAGCCTCTTAGTGTTCACTATCCTAACAACACTAGGTGACCTGTATAAATCATTAAGTTTTTCATTATATAATATCCTAATCAGTATCACATGACAAAAGGAGCAGAGCTTCCTTTGGCCAAACTACTTTTTTTAAAACTTGATATATCATGATACTTCTCCCGTGACAGTTAACTGTTAATTAATTCTGAGCTGATTCATGAATAATAATAATAATTTTATCAGTGGGTTTGCATGGCAGATACTTGTGCTCTAGGAGAGCCATTTATACACACACAGTTTGTTTTAAGTTCTCATGGGAACATTCACATTGTGGTCATATGGGTTCTTGTGACAGGTGTAGCATAGTACTCCACCTACCAGGCTAGTGTTATAACCGAGCAGACAACAGTTTGACATTAAACATTACTTATAATTCCTGGTATAATTCAAACTGCATGTTAATACCAGATAAAAGACTGTTATATTTTGCCATTCCAGTTGTGTATGATATAAATACAGTTTTCTAGACAATCATATGTTGCTGAAGAATTGGAACTGCAAGACACAGCTGCCATTCCAATACAGAAATGATTATGTAGAGCTCAGGGGAAATGTGAGCTTCAGAGTTCAGCAATGAAGATCTGAGAATTAAGTAAGATGTTAATGGTATTATATTTCACTCGTAGAGATAACTGCCTTTGACTGCATTACATAATCATGTGGCCAACCTTTTACATATTTTTTTTAAGTTATCACAATATTAAATGTCCCATAATGAATATTTTATATATATACTCAACTAATTTGAAAGTACAAAAGTGTCATTACTCATGTATGATTTTATTATTATGGTGTATACCTTCCCATCAGAATGTTCTCCAGTACTTCCAGTTTGCCAAGCATGTACTGTCCACTTGAAACTGAGAGTTCTATCTAGATATGAGTAATTTTGTATGTTTGTAGTATACCGCCAGGTTTGTCAGAAAGTACCAGAGTTCACTATTACCCCCAGCTGCTGCTTTACAGTGTTAAAAGAGATGTGTTTTCCTTGCTTTACTATCAGTTCCAAGAAATGAACATTGTCCAAGTTATGTTCTGCTGTGGAACAGACTGCAAATAAAATATGTTTATACCATGTAATGGACTGTTCATTTCAATTATTGTACTGTTTCATTTATGTTTTCTTTGTAGGCTTACTTAATGCCTATTTTGTTCCTGATGTACCTTGTAACTGATATAGCAACAGACATTTTTGCTTGTAAATTGTAGCAGTGAATTATGATTGTAATGCACAGTAAAATTTTATTCTTCAGATGTAGAGTTCAAACTCATTTAAGTATTAATACGTGTAACCTGTCTAAGATAAGAATTTGCAGTTACAAATTATTATTATCATTATTATTGTTATTACTAAACATATTTGTTTTTCAATAGAAATAGAATTTAAAAGATGACTTCACCTAATATACAATACTGATATTTTTCATGACATTTCACACACATAAAAATAAGAAGGCTGCAGAGTCAGAGAGTTAATAAAAATTTGTTCCACAATACTGAAGTGTGCAATAACAGGCCCCAAATTAAATTTTTACTCTTAATTTTCTTGTAATCTTTAGTCTGATACACAAACTTCCCATTTAAATTCATATTACAGTGCCTTACCAGATTTTTACTTTTCAAATTGAAATAAATTTTCCTAAATTTATTGTGTTAGGTCTCAGTTTGAATGTGAAAGTGAAATTTGTTGCAGTATGAATGTAACTTTTATGAATATGTAACATAGTAACACTTGTGATATTACAGTCAAAGCATCAGGAATGAAGGTCATACTTCAATGTGGTGTTCATTATGAGTGAACTTATATCCAAATGGTGTAATGGTCTGGAAGGTATTGATTTGAAATGCATTCGTTTTGGAATATAATCCATACTGTGCCACTGCTCTTTTGCCCCCTGCCCCCACACTACCCATATAGTTTAAACATGCTGTATTCCCCAAATATTATTTGAACTTTTTTTCTCCAGCTATTACCCAAAAGATTGACTGTGCATCATATTAGCATATTGTGACATATATATGAGTGACTTTAGACAGGGTTTGGATTGGTGATAAGATTTATTGCACTCTTATACAACTCGTTACTACACTTCACGCTTGCACACAGACTAGTGTTCTCGGTCTGTTACAGTCTCCACTAGCTGTTGCCTGGTAATGGTTTTCAATGACAGACGTTTCCCTTCCTTCGGGTTCCTGAACTGTCCCTGTGGCTTGGCTACCAGAATGTAACAGCAGCAGCTCACAACGACTGAACTGCAGTAGTACTCTGACTGATTGCTCAGTATGTTTTGAAACAGGCTTCTCTGATCTTATCATTAACCTAAGTAGGTGGGTTTGAACATTAAGAAATAGGAATATGTAACAGTTTATTGCAGACACCTATTGTATACAGACTATGTCCCTCAAAATGTCTGCAGAATTAGTAGTTCACTCACAAACCAACTTGCATTTTTCTTGGAAACTCTAATTTTAATATTCCAGTATTTAAACATGTTCCAATCAATCTGTTATTCTCTTTTTCAAAGCACTGTCCACTTGTACACTTCACAAATCCAAAAGTTTCATTCTGTAGCAACACATGCTTTGCACAGTGAAACAGAAACACTAAAATTGCTTGCAATATTTTGGATCATAATCGACTGAATGATGGAAAACTGTTCCAGCAGAGAGATGTTGTTACATTTGGTGAATAGAGCATTAATAATCTGAAAGGAGGAAATGAAGAAATAAATGGAAAGTTTGGCTGTATGGATGGCACTGTTGAGAGTAAAACTCATGAGATGTTCAATCATTTATAAGTGTCAGATAAGCCATGGCATATTTAAAGCTTGTATCACAGAGAGGCAGGATTTAGAAATAGCTTTGAAGTACAAGAACCAAAAGTCCCTTTACCGAGACTACCAGCATAGGCAATTAGTAAATTTATGGCCAGTGGATACTGCATAATATAGAAATTATAAACAGCTAGGCCATCCTCCATATAGGGCTTGTGTTCATGGGAATTTGATCAGATTTGGACATCAACCAAAATTTTGATAATTATGTGATTTGATTTTTATATTTCCAATACAATAAGCAGCTTCGGGGTAATTCATCATCACCTACCAGGATTAAATGTATTGTACTGCTATATCGGACGTAAACCCAAGTGACTCCTGTTATTTCTATTACATGTTACTCCTACCTGCATTTCTGACTCTGCCTTGTAACTCAGAATAAAAATGAAATCAAAATAATATTATTTAGCATTCTTTCATGCACAGATTACTGTATATGATAATTATCCTTTTCATGTTCTGACTGAACTGAAAAGGTGTTGTCTGTATGTGAATATGTGAAAGGTGCCAAATGTTTCTTACATTCTGTCTGTAACTTCTGACCTCTGACTGATTTATAAAAATATAGCTGTCTCTCTCTCTCTCTCTCTGGCTTCTGACCTTACTGACCCTACTGGATCCAGACTAGCTCCTTCTAACGGGCCCAACTGACTAGGTTTATCCTTCCCCACCCACCTGAAGACGGAGACAGATCCAGTCTCCGAAACGTCGTGGTCTTTCGTCTTTTACATACCAGACGATGGATGAAGTCCAAAACAAGCCAAAAGAAGTACAGTATACACCATCATCAGAATCCTTTCAGGTCAATTAAATTGTGTACTGAAAGATTTGATTTGTCCCCTGTACTTGCCTGAAGTTATTTTAAGGCATTTCATATGTTTCAGATGAAACATATTCATGTACAACTTACTTGGACTTTGTAATAATCTTGTTTGTACTGTGGCTTACCAGTTTAGTACTTGTATGGATTTTTAATTTATTTTATTTGCAGATTAATTTAATTTATTTATGTTATTTATCTTATTCTTTTGATCTGTAAAGAAAATATACATTTTACTGTGTCTTCCACCTTATGATTGCAATTTGCCCTTGACCTTGCAGCATGTTGTTTAATGAGTGATTATGTAATTACAGAAGAATTACTTATGCCGAGCTTTTATTGGGAGTTGTGTGTTCTTTATACAAATATTATACAAATAGTAACCAGATACTTGACAATACAAATCTTAATGCCATATGTATGTAATAGATATTAATGAGTGTCTGTGCTTCACTTGCTTCAGTACTCAAGAATCTGAAATAAATTGAACTGCACAAATTCATACAATACAGAGAGATTTTCACTTTTTAATGCAGTTTACCTGGTGTTTATTAAAGTTTTATGTAACTTCCCAACAAAAGATAAATAAATATATATACTTCAAAATGGGCACTTCCACATATCATTTTAAATTACATTATATGCAGCATAACACTTTTCTCTTAATTTGCACATTCTTTTTAGACAACCATACATGATAATGTGCATATTTAATCCATAGCTGAAAGCATATTCTTCCCCCTAAGGGCAGAACGGTCTGAATTATTTAATTCCTAGAAAGTCTTGTATGTTCATCTGACAGTTAAAATATCTTACATTTATGAGAGGTATTTTTTCAGTATTTTGTCTTTGGTAGGAGTAGCATGTTTAGTAGAAGTTTAGCAGAGTTTAATTAGTCATAGAGGGCCTAAGACAGAATGCTGGCAGATGACAAGCCCAGTTCTCCTAATGAGTGAAAAAACTTGTACATAAACATTCCTGAATGTGAAGTATGTGTTGTGGGATATAATGCTATTCAGTCTGGTTAGAGTCCATCAACGTTTCAGAGGAACATACCACCTCCATCTTCAGGGCCAGTAAGCCAAGCAAGAACAAGCATGACACAGGCAGCAAGCAAAACATACTATGTGCAGAAAACAGAGGATTATGTAGGTCAAGAGGGAACTTCCAAACCAACCAATCCACTCCCCCTGACTTATTCTGAAAAACAGCAAACACCAGGGGACAAGACAAGAGTAACATCTTCATGCCAGTTTCTTGCTTGGCTTACTTTTTTACTCTGAAGATGCAGACCATTTGTTCCTCCAAAATATCACTTGACTTTGACCAGGCTACATGGTGTTATATAAGACGAAAGATGGAAATCTTCATAGTCACTGCTGTGAGAACCTCAAATGAAACATAGTTTTCCTAAATGTGTTTTTCAAATTCAGTCTTCCTTGAAGGTAGAATTGTATTACATTTCACATCACGTATATACATATTCTGTACTAACTTGTTTCTTGTCCATAGGTACAGCTTTTTGTCAGTAATATTCTGCTGTCTTTTGATTTTGTATGGAAATTGTCTGGGATTGTTAATAGTATATTTTATACAGAAAACATTCAACATATGAAGCTGTTGCTGTCTTGCAGAACTAGACTCAACTTTGATATACACTTAGAACATCTTTGAATTTAGCAAATATTTATTTAGCACGATGGTTATAGAAGTTGAACCCAATTTCGCTAGATTTCTTAAGAACTACTCATATGAAGAACACCCACATGACTGATAGTTGATATTTCCTGAACAGAATATGTACTATGGTTTAATTTGGTATTAGATGCTAATTCTGGTTGTCAAACAGTGTACTAAATGTTGAGTTATTGAAGGTTTCCCTTTCTACAATTTTGTTAGAACCTTATGAAGTTACTGCACAGGTGGGTGGGTATAGTAGGTGGCACTCTGGACGTACCCTATAGAAACTTCATACATTCCATGTACCAAATCTTATGACCATTTTCTTTACCTTAAGTTGTTTATCCAGAGAATCCGTCCAGGTCTGACATACTTTGTGACGTTTTGTAAGAAGCATATTTTTAACGATGAGTAGTTGTTAGCACCACCCCAAACCCCAAAGCTGGCTGACTACTGCAAAATGAAGGTAAGCCTATTGGAAAAGTATTATTTCTAAACAATGTAACAATAAGATTATTCTCAATAAAAGTAATGAAAGTATATTCTTAAGGGTTCTGTATGACACTCAGAATTACTGGAGTTTTGTACTTTGTCCATCATCTGGTATAATTAGAAAACGTTTCAGAAACTGGAGCTGTTTCCATCCTCAGGTGAGGGAGGAGACACTTAGTCTGTTGGGTCCCTTAGAAAGAACTAACTTCCGAAAACCCAGTAATTCTGGAAAGTAGCGCAGTATATTAATATAATTTCAATATACTATACGCGCACACAGTCACTGGCATTCGGCAAGGAAAGAATTAACATGGTGCGTTTGAATTTCCCACCGGCGTATGAATACCAGACGTATGACGAAAATAAAATTACGGATTCTACTAACGTGCCTTGAAGATGTAAGAATTGCGTTACCAAGCGACGACGACACAAGGTATTTCGTCTTGTGCGGACTTGGGAAAAACTTACGTTATAGATGTTATGGCGGTTATGGATTACCGAGTACAAAATAGCGAACAACTGGGGTAATAGGATGGTGAAGTGCGTTGCTGCAAGCTGGCGGAGTTATGTGTGAGGCGTGTGAGGTGACCGATTGTCAGTGTAGTTGTAAGGGTTGTGAGCATTTAATGTCTTGGGATTTAAAATTCAGTGAAAGCATACAGACAGAAGGAAATGTCTTCTTTTTCTGTTAATTTGTAGAGAGTAATTTACATTTTTATATGTAGTGTAAACAAAACTTGAATTTGGCTCTGCCTGGTTGTGTTTTGTGTTTAAAGATGTAGGAATCAGAATGCCCAAAAAGATGATCACAAAAAGTTGTCCAAAATGTGTCCAGCAGGTAAGTATAAAGTGTTTTCTACTTTCGTAACGGTGTACTGCCATTTATTTAGTGATATGCGAAAAGGAAACAATGTAAACGTTAAATACGGCCTTTGCATGTGCTAACCATATATCGTGAATAAACACGGCAGCCTTGAAAATGATCTTTATGAGACAAAGTTTAGGAAAATACATGAGCGGTGTTAATGGGACCACCAGCGACCATGACCCCAAAACTCTGTCATAGTCAATAAAGTAAGATAATTAGATGTTGCAAGTCGTTCTGGTCCACATAACCTTAGTAGTGCTGTTCTTTCTGAATAGGTCAGTTTCTTACCTGAAGAATAGTGAGCAGTGCATGCTGAGCCACAGTGATGGGCCATTATAGTGGCGGTTGAAATGAACGTGTATATCAGTTATCTACTTGGAATAACGGCACCACACGACGTTTAACTTTATGTACCGAATTTAAGTTAGGTTTTGTGATAATGCTGTTGTAAGTTAGTACATATTTAATCTGCATGCAGTAGAGGTTTTGTGTCAAGAAGACAAAATCTAACCCTATCTGAAGAAGCCCCATTGTTCAGCTACTTACTCTGTTCCCTTGGGCCTGCCATTTTACAGTTATAAGCCCTGTAAGTATGAAGAAGAATACATAAAAGTTAATTAAACAACCCAAATAGTGATTTATGGTGGTACAAATGTTTTAAATATGTAAATATAGGTGCATCTCATAGATCCTAGTAAATCCAAGTAAGAAGGATGTATACCAAGTCAGAGTACAACATATCATATTCACAAGTATACGTATCTGTTTGATTCTCTTTTCTGGGAAATCTCTGTAGTTTTATTAACTTCCTTTAGTAGAAGAAATATCATTTTTCTGTCAGATGGGTTTTGTCAGAATATTATACACAAGCCATGACTGAGTAGAAGTTCATTTTAGATGGCTCCTTATTATCCTACTTTACTTGATATACTTGATGTGTTATGTGTTGCAGCTGCCAGTAGCATGCAAGGCCTGCCCATGTGGACATAATTTTTTCTCTGCTCGCCGTGCGGTTATTACAGCACAAGCAGCAGAAGTGAGGGATGAAGGTATTACCAAACGGAGGCGAACAGAGAGAGTGAAGCGAGGAAAACCTAATTATTATGATGCCCTGGAATATGAAAAACAAACAAAAAAGGTAAATGTGTTTGGTAAGGTACACTTTATGCCCTTTCAAGGAGTATGGAGTTGTTGATTAGTTAGTGAATTTTTAGGTGCACCACAATGTGAATTACTCATCATAAACCAAATAATTGTTTTATTTCTATTATAATCTAATACAATGTAATGCTGTATAGGATGGTAAATTGATAACCAAACTACATGGTGTTGAGTACTATCTTCTGGGATATAACGCCATGTAGTCCATTGAAAGTCAGTGTTTCAGACAAATATATCACCTCCAACTACAGGGTCAAAGAATAGGCCAAGCAAGAAACTAGTGTGAAGCTTGCCATCTGTGTTCACATAGGTTTCTTCACCAGCTTATTCTTCAACCCTGAAGATGGAGGCAATATGTTCCTCTGAAATGTCTGTTATATATCCCAGAAGATACCCACCACTGTGAGAACCTCAGATGCTGTATTATACATGGTGTTATGTTACAGAAAACTGTATCTGTATACTCTGCCATTAGAACCTTAATGTTGCAAATGCATATTATGGCTGACATTCTCCATCAGTTAAAACAAGAAGCCTGAAGTATAAGGAAATGGTGTAGTAATTAGCCCTGAAAGGAAGTATGGTAAAACACATGCAATGTTTTTGCATACAACTCTGTGATATGCGCACAGATTTATAAATACTGGGCCTCCAGAATGTGAAAAAAATATTTCTCCCCCTGCTGGAATTCAAACCCCCTTTGTTTAGTCATGTTACTCTGTTTGGTAGGTGGTAGAAGCATTTCTCTTGCTTCACATTTTCAGTTCTTCGGCCTTCTCCGCTTCTGTTGAACCTTGCATTATAAAACAGATCTTTATCTTTCATCAGTTACTGTTCACTCAGAAATAATTTTCATGGTTGCCACATCGTTACATTTACATTTTGAACAAAAATTGCTTTTAGGGAATATGTTAACATAAATGTGTCAAGTAAAATGTACCTGTAACTGAATCCTTAATAGTTCAGTGATTAGAAATTTTAATAAAACAAGGTAGGAAAGCCATGCCACAAAGTGTGGCAGTGTTATATTCTTGTTTACTTCTTAGTTTAAAGGGTAAATTAATAATTGGCTTCAAACTCTGGTCTATACAATAATTTCTCAGTTATATGGTATTTGAGCATACTGAATACTCGTCCATCCAGTAAACATTTGTAAGAAAATTCACCATTTTTATAAAGTTATACGAAAACAAATCTGTAATCTCGCATGCTATGCAGTAGTTCTCCCAGCTGCCACTAGCAGCAATACCTGTCCTTCATGTAGGAGCTGTTATAGTAGAAGCAAGTTGAATCTGTGATCACGTCACAGTATACTGTATATCCAAAGCCTTTCATCCATCATTTCACTCGCTTCATCACCTAGGAAGACTTCCATGCAAGAACTGAAGCAAAAACATGTTGGTTCTTATTTGTATTGGATTTCTGTAAGAGTTTTTCTTGTGAAACTGTCACCGTACCTGATGCTTTATTGGCAGTATGTTCTTAATATTATTGATGAGGTTTCTTCTGGTATCCTGTTTATGTCAATATTTGTTTCGTTTTTATCCAAAGCAGAAACGGAGTCGGAATACTAGTGACATTCATGGTGAACAGCACAGAAAAGGAGACAGCGTAGAAGGCCAGCACAGACTTAAGAAAAAGAGAAAGAAGAAAGCCTCAGTTGAGAAAGAACACGAGGAGAAAGATATTTCATTATCAGCAGTCTCTCCTGAAAATAGCCTCAAGTGTTTTGTCATTCTTGCTGAAATAAACAGAAAGATTGGCTCCACATCATGGAGGGAATAATAGTGTTCTAATCTACTTACGTGTAGTGCATCAAGGCAACTGATTTAATGTTTGTATAGAAAAGAAACACAATATGTATTTATGCTGTATATGTTTGACTTACATCTGTAGATCACTGTGGTCGCGGTGCAAGGGCCCACCCCTTATACATTTATTCATTACATCTATATTGTTGCAGGAATAGTGAGAAAATGCAAATTTGGTTTGTAAATTGAAGGCTGATTTGATCTGAGCAACATAACCATTTTTTTTATATTAGTCTTATTCAGGTATTCTGAATTGCAGTGTTTGTATTGGACAGTATCAACAGAAATCAGGTGGAACTCAGCCTTCCTATGATCATTTATTCTGCTGTTGTATTACTTCATTCTAAAGATGTCTGTATGAGATAAAAACTTACGTTTCTTCCATCTCCATTACATCCATTGGCATTTTATTGGTAATTATTTTATGATAAATGGAGTATTTATGTTTTCATAGTGAAAGTGACTTATAGAGAAGTCTTGTGTGTTAACTTTGAATGAATGAACCAGTTCTGGGGGGAATTGTTCTGTTTAATTTTAAATCTTTGTCAGCGGCACCAACAATCTAATTAGGACAGAAGCATTTCATACAATTCTTCAGCCTTATAAATCTTCTGAAGCAACATTCATTGAGGTGATTTTAATCATAAATGCAAACTAATAGCATGGCAACTGTATAAATTCACGTAAAAAGTTGTTTGTGACAGATATGTAAGTTGAAGAGTTTTTTTTTTTAATGTATCATTATCATCCATTGCTATCATCATTGTTGTCTTGTGATAAAATCTCGTTGAGTGTAATTTACAACCATAATTTGTACAAACAGATTTCTTGTATGTTAAGGCAGGGTGGGAACTGTTCATTAAAAGGATTGTGATATTTCAGTGTTCAGATAGTGCTGTAGAAACTTTGAAAACGTTGTTAACCATTATCAACAGAACGAGAGAATTCTGGTGTTTTGCTAGTGAATGTACAAATTTAGTTCACCTCTTGTTGATTTTGAAAGAATGCCCTGCTGTAGCGGTAAATTTTATGTAATTGTCATATTCTAATAATTTCAGTTTTATTCCAAAATTACATTTCCACAGGTTACACATTTTTAAAAAATCTATACCACCCAGAATTTCAGACTCCCTCAAAGTACAACATTTATATATCACCACAGCATAGTTAATGTTGATGTTAAGTGTTTAAAATATGGTATCTGTGTGACTTCATAATCTTCCTGTCTGCTTTCATAGAAACTTGCAGATTGGTTCAGAAAATTAATTAGTGGTGAAACCAGACAGGTTGTTTCACTTTTGGAAACCAAAATAAATCATGTATTAACTTTCCAAGAACTGAAATAAGGAAATAGGACTGTGTGTTTTAAATAGTGCAGCCCTTTAAAAACTGCCACCAGATTTCCAGATGTTTGTGCTTGATGTCTCTTTGTACGTGAATGTTTTGTTAATGGTAAAGGTGAATGCCATTCTCCCAGTTTGATGGTGCCGTCTGTGTTAGTTTATTTGTGTCCATATCCTTTTAAGCTAACGGTGTCATTTCCTGCATTGAAGTGAACTTATCTCAGTCAGTGCAGAATCAGTGGCAGGAAGTTTCTTAAATCTATTAAATATATGAGTAGTATTGATTCATAGGATTCTTGAAACACTTTTGCCTTTACACCAGAAAGTCTAAAGGACGTGCTGTATTTGCACACACAGTATTCCCTTTTAACATGGGATTAACTTGATTTTGATTATATATCATGTTTAGACACCTGCTTTAGATGACACATTTGGAAGTGCATATCTAGTACACAGATTTGGGCACAACTGAGATCACATCGTACCCATGCCTACTGCCCAGCCTCAGTGATGCCATGACTTTCACTGGAAGAACATCTATGCAAGATAATTCACGAACTTGGAATATCCTTCTGGGATATAATGCCATGTAGTCTGTTGAAAGTCAACTGTCATTTAAGAGAAGCATGTTACCTTGATCTTCAGAGTCAGAGAATAAGCCAGGCAAGTAACCAGCATGATGCAGGCACCAAGTGGAGCCCAGGGCTGAAGACACCAAGCAAGCAATCAGCGGGAAGCAGGTAGCAAGCCGAGCAACATGTTCCTCTAAAACGTTGGTTCACTTTCAGTGGACTACACAGTGTTATATCGCAGAAGATGGAACTCTTTGTAATCACCACTGTGAGAACCTCGTATCCTACAACTTTCCCTTTTTATTTGTATAGTACTGTATTCTTTAACCCTTAAATATTGTTTCAGAGTGTAAATATAGTGATACTGTTGCAAAATGAGTTAGAAAAGTAATGATCCTGAACAAAAAATTGACATGGTTTATAATATACGGCATGGTTAAAGTGTAGCGTCTGTTGGAAGGCATTCTCATGTCAACAAATCTTCTATCAGAAGTATTAAACTTGATGCTCTATAGTCATGACACTGACAGTGTCGTTAAATAAATTTTCAAAAGAAAACTTAAATAGAGTCTAGCAAAGCTATGACTGATGTGCAGAAAAATCTGAGAAGGCACTTTCTTTGTATACAGCATGTTTTTTTATTACCATGTTACAGTGATTTCTGATATTTATTTGTATGTACAGTAGGTATAAATAAAAGCCAATTGTTGTAATGCCTTTGTATACATGTGTTTCAGAGGCTGATTCTCACTATTGCTTATTTCACATAAGACAGAACCTTTGCAAAACACAGTCTTCATATCCCCACTATAATTCAAGAACATAACCTCTATGTTAAACAAGGTATAAACTATATGATTATTTCCGAGATTCATATTACTACCATTTCTTGTACAAGTTTTCTTCAGTTACTGTGAGTGGTGATTCTTTGCATGGTCATAATGTTCATGTACTCATATTTCACACCTGCAGATATAATTTGTAACCATAAAATTTCTTTTTTGCTTTAATAATATGTAGGAATATTTCTAAGAAATTCAAATATCTTACCAAGACTTCTTGTAATATGTCATTTCTAATATCTCTTCAAGCAGATGCTAGATTCTCTACAACTTTATCTAACTCCATGGCACATAATCCTTCATGAGAACATAGTAGATGCTTAGTTGGTTAATGAATTTCCCATGGTTTATGGAACCTGAATATTCGTTAACATGTTCAGACCACTACCATACTGGACTGTGTCCTTAGGTGCTTTAATTCAGACCATACCTTCGAGATCCATTTCTTAAGAGTGCTCTTTTAATTTTATTAATCTTATTACATTAAGATTTACCTTTATGTGTCATGTTGGATGTGTGTTGCACATGTGCTTCCCCCCCCCCACC